TCTTTGCATCTTATCAATATAAAAGATATAAACATGGAAAATTTAACATTATCTAGATTAAATTTACTAGTTTCACACTAGAGATTTGATCAAAAGTATACAACTAGATAAGCCATAGTCAAAATGAAATTCTCAGTAAAATTCAATCCATAGAGTATGTGTACCCTTGTTTCAGGGATGAAAAGATGTCAATTCAGGATCAAATGAGCCCTTATTGACTCAGGTTCTGATGTATCAGTTCAAGTTCTGACATGCAATTATGTAATTTGATGAAAATACAGAAGTATCATTTTGTGTAAACATGAGATTTTGGGTAGGACCCTGTGGTCCTGCAGACACCACTAACTGAATAGAGTTGAAAGGGCAAAGCAAGAGGAGGAAGGTTAAGGAAACAGCACCTCTGAGCAGCTTTCTCATTTACGCAACTTCCAGAGGTAAAACATGAATAAATATTCACTTTACCAAGATCTGGATTTTTTCATTACTACTTTTCAATAGAAAATTGTACACTGGCAGAAGAAAATAACTAGAATTTTTGTTTTGTTTCTAAGAATTCGTGCACTTAAGTGACTTAAACTATTTTAACATTTACTGTTAATAATCGGGGTTTTAATGAAGCAATCACAAGATAAAAGACAATTTTTCAACTTATACACAAAGTTCAATACAGCTCTTCTGATAAAGTCATTTTAAGGTCTGCATTTAACCCTATCGCTTCTCATTGCAAGGGAGTTGGACTAGATGACTTTTAAAGGTCTCTTCCAACCCAAATTATTTTATGATTCTATGATAAATGATCTTTTTTGGGCATCCAGGTACGCTGCAGGCAAAACCGGTGATTTCAGCATCTGTAAGCATACGCGAAGTTTACACTAGTAAACCCAGCCACCCATCACATTTAAATAGCAGCAGCAAAGAGCTCAGTTCAGCCTAGCTACTCAACAGACTGCTACAGACTCTTATCAGAAGTAGTTTGCTATCAGAATCAGAGGTGAACTCTGTGCTATCAATGAACACAATTTATCAGCTCTAGATCTAGCCAACTAAAAGATAGCTCCAGCATATGCGTAAGAACTCCACTCATGCCTTTTAGCCATAGTATAACACATCTGCTGCTGTATCCTGCTGCTAATATCATTGGTCTTCCCACCTAATTCTGCTTTGTGCTGAGTAATGGGAAAGCATTGATGCCGTGACCTGCAGGGCTGAGAGACCTACATGGAGGTCCCTCAGTGCCCATTCTACAAACCACGTCACCTGTGCAGAGGAAATACACTCGTTCCAAAAAGTTATTCTTGAATATGTTACAAGTCATCTCAAGAGTTATTCGAAGGATGTCACTTTAATGTCTGTGTTCTTTTAGAGGCCAATGAGTAAATTTGCTTAAAGAGCAAACTCTCTTTTCAAAAAATAAACAACATACGCATGTAGAAGACTGCAAGGACATTAGCTTCAAATGAGTTTTTGATTCCAACGTACATTTTTACTCCCATGTACATCAAACTTAAATCATTTCTGCTTCCATGGGAAAGGCTAGGAAAAGCATTCCCCTCTACCACGCAAAGTGAACACTAATGCCTGATGAGCAGGATAGCTCTTCAGAATCCACTATCTGTATTGAATAGGTCTCTACTGATTATAATGAGAGCTCAGAAAACCTCACTTACTCTCCAATTTCTACAACGCAAAGGTCAATTCTGTAAGTGACAAAACAGCTAACATCACTTGCAGATGATACACACCTGGGAAAACACCATGCAGAGACAGCACAAATCCCTACTGTAAAGCTTAATACAGCTCCGGAGGGTTTTTTCATCATTCCCTCATGACATTCACATTTGCATACCCCACAAGTTAGTGAAACTTTAGCACAACAGCTACTGAGCAAGTTAGCAAAAGACTGGAACTTGAACCTAGTTCACAAGTGCTGCATGATAAAAACCAAGTCTGCACACATACCACTTTTTTAGCTAGGTAACGTGTTTTAGTGTTAATAGATATAAGTAGACCTGCAACACAAAAAAAATATTTTAGTTTAAATGCTTTGTCCAGCATTTATCATTGGTCAACTTTTATCTCTTCTGCTGGCTTGAGGGCACTTACTGACAGGTCTACCTGTTTTTCATGAGCCTCACAGGACTAGTGTGACCTTGTGTTAGGCTACTGGTAGAATCCGCATCCTGTTCCTTTAGAGTAGTTACATTTGTGTGCTTTTTTTCTGAGATTGGTTAGCAGCTGTGAGTGAAATTAAGACCCTACTCAAGTCTCTCATTACTTTCACTTAAAACAAAAGTTTCCATGTGTACTTTAACAGAACCAGTGGTCTGCAATATTAAACCCTGTGCAAGCAAATATCCCAAATCATAACTCTAATGTACAGTAATAGGACATGGAACAATAATAGACACCATCCACTTTCAGAAAGGAACTGGGAAAAATGCACAAGCCGTGACTAATGTTCTGCAACCTCTAAGAAAAATTATGCTCCCTGAAAGGTTATAGAGACTGGAAATTTTACACCCATTTCATAAAGTCCACAGATCAGAATATTCATAAAAAAGAAGTTCATGTTTTAGGCATGGATTTGCTGTACTAGATATTAAGGTGTAACAGAAGGCTTAAAATATTTTTTCTATTTAGATATAGATAACAGACAAAATATTCTAGTTAATTTGATGAATTCTATAGTTACAAAATTGTAAAGAAAATATGAAATGATTACAGAAACTACTTTAGAGGTGTTCATACCTTCCCATGGGAAGGTGGTCTAGAAAAAAATAAACCCACAAAGTTCCCTTTTGTAGATGCCTTTCCAATTTTAGAAGGCAGAATCTGACCTTATTGGTTTACTCTTGGTAACAGTGCTTGGTATTTAAATAGCACCTCTGAGGTAACATATTTAAGAAGGGTGAAAAAAATGGCACACAGCAATTGCAGCCAGAGAGAGCAGTGAGAATATGTGAGGGGAAAAATTCTGCAGACACCAAGGTCAGTGAACAGAGGGGTGAAGACCATGGTGAGACAGGCTGTCCCCCTGCAGCCCATGGAGATCCACGCTGGAGCAGATCTCCACCTGCAGCCCATGGAGGATCCCATGTCAGAGCAGGTGGATGTGCCCAAAGCAGGCTGTGACCCCATGGAAAGCAGAAACTGGAGCGGGCTCCTGGAAAGGACCTGTGGACCCATCGAGAGAGAAGCCCACGTCGGCACAGGTTTGCTAGCAGGACTTGTGACCCTGTGGGGGACCCATGCTGGAGCAGTCAGTTCCTGAAAGACTGCACCCCATGGCAGGGACCCAGGCTGGAGAAGTTCATGAAGAACTGCAGCCTGTGGGAAGGACTCACGTTGGAGAAGTTCATGGAGGACTGTCTCATGGCAAGGACCCCACGCTGGAGCAGGGAA